CATTTTATCGGCGTTGGTGTTTAACGTATTTGTATTTCACTGCTATTGTGAGTTTATTTGTCCATTGCCGAATGGTCTTTATGCCAATACGAATGATAAACATACTTTTTATTCATGTTCAAATAGCCATGCATATTTAATGAAATGCTCACCAGGTCTCATATGGAATCAACAAATACTTCAATGTGATTGGATAGGAGGTATGTATTACGCCTCTTGTCAGATTTAGCAAGCAGGATTTGCGTAAACCTAGATTTTCAACCGTCGAATTCATCGGAATCTAATTCAGTATGGTTATATTCTCCCACTCAAATATATTATAATCTCCTCCGGGATACAACCTTCTGTTATGGTAGCATACATCATACTTCTTTTGGGTGAAAAATCGTTAAAAAGTATCTTTGACGATGCCTTTTGAGCTTTCTTAACCTACTGATATTTAAATCACCTTTTTACACTTCCTTTTTAGACGAACAGATTATTAATTCAACAACAACAATCCATGATTGTCCAGAGAATGAAGTCTCGTATGACAATCATTGTTATTATTTAGATGGTTCAGGTGGTAAGTGTTCATACGGTTATAGTCGTGCATCAGAATCAATTCTAATTCAAATATCGAAATTATTTATTGGTAAAAATTATAAAACAGCTATATCAGATAATTGCTGTATCTGGACAACTGATCTATATCAAAATTATTATATATCAGCTCATTGTAATAAACACGGACCGTTCACAAAAGGACCAGAAAATCTTAATGGTTGTATTAATCAAACAAATCAATATCCAAGACAAATGACATTTTGTGGTAGTCACTAGAAACACAAACTTGTTGGCTTTTCTTATAAACCTAATTGTTTCCTAATAAAATGGGAAAGAAGATTCACTAACTGTACTTTTATGTGACTTTTACATAAGAGTTGTAAACCGGCTCTAATATCACTCAGTAAGAACTTTTATATTTTCAGATTTCTTAGACTATTAGACTAGATTATCTGAAAGACAGGGCTATTA